AAGGAACAGCTAGAAAGAGTGAAGGATCAGAAAGAACCGCCGAATAAGGACAGGAGTCTGGAATAACCTAAAGTCTGGTTGGGCCTATCGAACACCCAACATGAATTCAGCATTGCATACATGCAATGCACAATACAGCAGTCATAAACATGCTTCAACGCCGTTTGATTTAGGCAGAGGAAACAGTTGCCACCGCAGCCACTTCTTTTTCATGCAAGCTTGAAGTAACCGATACAATCATGGGCTGCCTCATTAAGATCGCAAAAGTAGACATAACAAGTGGGCAGGTTTGCAGCCGGCCACCAACCTGACGACGTCTGTTACATGACAGACAAAAGCCGAATACATTGAGCCGTGGACTTCTTCGCAAATTCGTAAAAATTCTTCTTTAATTACAAAGTATGAGTTGTGTTTACCCTAATTCGTTTATGTGATGAAGGACTGATGGTAGAATTTTCCCACAATGATTTGAGTATAGCTGATGCTTTTCATTCAATTTCACATAGCCCTGCTTCGCAAAAGGTGTTCTCATCCAGGCTTATCGGTCTTAGCAACACCCCCAGCGGGACTCAAACCATGACACGTTAGCCACTCGGCCACATTGCCATGAGTTCCCTTGGGTTACAAAGCAGATGTGAATTGCAACCAAGGTAAAGTATTTTTCATATCATTATCCATATTATTTAATCTATTGATAAGGCCTATACAACGTCGAAACTGCAGTCCATCTTGGATGAGAACAGCTTTCGATAAAGCAAAGCTCAAAAACCTACTCACGAAATATAATGTAGCCACACCACCTTACTAAAGGATTCTTCGAATCTCGGCAGTTTTTCATTTATACTAATTTGATCTTTTTGATCAATTTATATGTTTTTCTGTGTTACTCGTCTGTTCAACAATTCATGCCAACCTTTCTGTTAATATGAATACAATCTGACTTTAAAGATTTCTTTCCTGATCTACTATGGCATAGCTTTTCTTTTTATAAGAAAAGTTGGTTGTAAAATATTCGTCAATTGATCTCACCGAAATCCGAAAAATGATTGCAGTGAACAAGTAAGGATGTTGGATTTTGCGGTCCAACATGGCATGGAACAAATATCATCAACGTATACATGGCTGGTTGCAAACCTACCCACAAGGCCTGACATCGTTTTGGCAACTTGGTTGTGTTGCCATGACGACCTATTCGAACTCACCTTGTTCGAATTCTTCTGCGTTGTACTGTGGATTTGATACATTCCCATACGTTTCACCGGCATTGTAGTCGGCATCATCAGTGAGTCTGCCATTTTCAGCACCAAGCTACAATTCGTCAAGGAAACAGATGAAGTCGGCTTGGTGCTGAGAATGGCAAGATTCACTGGCGGTGTCGACTATGCTCCCGGCGAGACGTCTGGGAATGCATCAATTCCACGATCCGACACGTGGAGTATGATAATCACTATAGCAGAGGACTTAGGTCCAGGTGCATCCAACTAAGTCGTCCTGACGACACGACCAAGTTGCAAATACGAGGTCAGCCCACTTCCGATATACCAATCCTATCGTTTCGACATTTCACACAAATTGGAAGCTACAATAACAAGTATTTTGGAAGAATTTCGTTGAACTTCACCTTCTCTTCATAACATATAGAATTCCTTTAAGCTGATTGAAATTAGGCCATTTGAACCCGCTTAAGAACGTGGAATACTTCATTCCGAGACCGCATGTGAGGCCATCAGCCTCTTCGGGAGATGAGCAACTGAGACTGGGCTACTCTTACAAGTTGCTGGGGCGATCTTCAGTTCGTGTGAAAGTACATGAAGAAGAGATTCTCAGAATATATGAAGACCAAGATGTTGTCGCCTCTGGTATGGTCGCAGTCTCCTTTCGATTTATAGAAGTGGGTTGACCTCGTTGT